GAACCCAAATGGAGACTGCAGCCAAGAAATCAGAAGACTATGACTTGGAAAGTCAGCAAAAATCAAGTGTAAGGGTGTGTCACTAGAGACCAAGAATAAGAACATACATACAGTACTATCATATTTATAACCACCATGTGTGGGTATGAAAGTTGGATAGGGGAAAAAGCTGACAAGAAGGCAATTGATTTGTTTGAAATGTGGTGCTGGAGGAAAGCTTTGAGGATACTTTCAACTGCCTGAAAGATAAATAAATAGGTCCTGGACCATATTAAGCCCAAACTATCTCTGGAGGTAAAAATGTTGAAACTGAGGTTGTCTTACTTTGGGCACATCATGATTCTCTGGAAAGGCAATAAAGATGTGAACAGTTGAAGGCAGCAGGAAAAGAGGAAGACCAAATACAAGATGGACTGGCTCCATAAAGGAAGCCGCAGTCTTGATTTTACAGGAATTGAGCAGGGCGGTTGTGGACAAGCCATTTTGGATATCACACATTCATGGGGTCCCCATAAATCAGGGCAACTTGATGGTGCATAACAATTATGAATATCATTTTTTATTAATTAAAGTGTCATTTTAAAAATGGAGCCAGACAAAAGATGGAAGCAGAAATGACAGGTGAATATATTGTCAGTGTAACCTTACATGTATGTGGAAAGGAGTTGACATGTCCTTTTCCACTTCCAAAGTCATTCTAGCTCCTCTCAGCCAAGATGGGGAACATATAAACTCATAAAAGCTTTTGTTTGCTTTTCTTTTTTAAAAAGAAAAGCTCTTACATCTGACAAAGTGGACCTGTCCACAAAAGCTCACATTAAAAAAAGTCCTAAAAGTTAGTATTCAAGGTGCCATCGTGACGTTTTTGTCTTTTTTAATTTTTTAATTTCTATTTTGCTTTTACCTTTAAAAAAAAGAACAGCTGCAGTGGAATCAAACAGGCTTTCAACTTCCAAGAGGAAGCTTTCCATTTGTCTTTTAGCTTTTTAAAGTGGTGCAATGCATATTCACTGCCCTAATACACACTTATTTTTCACTTCCTTAGTCCTCTGCAGAGCTGAAAAAATGATTAATTTGCTAATATCCTGAAGTGGCTGTCTTATTAAGCTATTTCACAATGTTGACAAGGCTTGCTTCAGGTCAGTATGTCATTTGGATGTGAGAGTGCTACAGTCCAAAAATTACAAAAGTTCCATCCCAAGCACTTAAATGACGAGACTCATGATGCAATTAGCATGAGCAGCAAATGTACCATGTATGTGTATAATTAGGTGGAAATAGTGTTTGTAAAAATTCTATACTACAGTATATTTCTAGAAAAGCCAGCTATATAACTTCCTTGAGGATGGGGAACATCTTCAGGGTTTAACAGCACCTAAGGGGCCCAAAAGGCAAGAGAAAAAAAGTGATGGGAGCAACATTAGGAACAGGAAATAAGTGTGGCTTCCATTTCAACCGTTTATGCTGCTTGAGGAAGTTCTTTTTCAGACTACAACTTCCAGAATTCCCCATATATCATTGGGGATTCTCGAGGCTGCAGCCCAGATAAGTAACCTTTCCGAGCTCTAGTGCCAAGTATGTGAGCACTAAAGTTTCTGCAAAAATATCTCAAGATCGCAACTAATAGGCAACCCAGTTAATTTAATTGCCCCACTTACCTCATCCAGGATGTTATCTGTTCCCGGATACAGGTAAGCATATCTATAGGATAGGAGAATTCACAGGCACCAAAGTAAACCATGAATGGAACAAAGCTTAGTTTGTGGAGTTTATATTTTATTGGTTAATCATTAGTAAGCCCTGGAAAGAAAGTTAAGTTCCTTTGGCAGGGGACCAATTGTTAAAAGGATGTGTGTGTACCATGCTCATTTGCTCTCTGAAGCTGGACTGGCTCTGGGCCCATCATCTCCATTGTGGACTAGATCTGATATGTTGTTTAATCAAAAGAATTAATATTTCATCACCTGTTTTCACACAAAGGTCTGGTTGGATGACTGACCTTTTCTTCTCTCTGCCCCATCAAAAATCCTTCCAACAGAGGTTTACATCTTGCCTAATGAGGTGCATTTTCAGGGTCAATGAACCATGATAGCCTTTTTATGAACTGTTCACTGAACAGCATCGTTCTGGCCTGCAGGCCATCTTGCAAATAGCCATATGGTCTTCATGGAAGTTTCATTTCAACAAGTAAAAACCCATGAGCCAATGCTGTGATGACATTCGCACCAAGTGCTGCTTTAATTCCAGTTGATTAAAGAGGCCAAATTATTCAGCTAGCGAGTAACACCTTGAGGGTAATCTCAGATCATTTTACTCTTGCTTGTACCATCAGTAAACCTATTCTGCTTCTTCACGAGAGACTATGGTGCTAATGACATGCTGATAAGTTTAGTGTGAGCAGACTGAGATCTTTTCTCTGGTAAAGAAAAAGCCATTTAGAATGTAGGCCTCAGATGCAGGGGACCTGGGTTCAAATCTCAATTGAGCCATGAAACCAGGAACAGCGGATGACCTTGTGATGGTCACATTCTTCAGTCTGACCTACTAAGAAGGTTGTTGTTGGGAGGTTAGCCTCCCCCTTTTTTAACCTTTTTGGCAGTAGTTAAAGAGCTGCCTCTTTAGGCAGGCTTGTAAAAACTGAGTCTCTCTTGAATACTGGGCGTACTGTATGTTCTTTTAAAGGTGTTTTTAAACATTTTAAATGTTCAGATAACACTTTTTAAAAAATATATTTTTATTAATACATTAATACAAGAACAAAAAATTAAAACAAACAAAAATAGCAAATAAAGCTACACACACTTATATACTTCTGTGCACTCTTCACCACTCCAGACAGTTTGTCTATTAACATATTAATGTGTATAAATAATTATTTATTTCTTTTTAGGTATTATATTATTGCCCTGTTTTTCTCCAGAAATACAATGGGTCTTCACTGAGAGTAAAGCCTCTCCCTTTGTCAAATATAGGTAACAAGAACGGTTTCCATATGTCTCTAAAGTCATTAATGTGCATTGGTCTTTTTCTTATTTTAAGCTCACAGGTTAGTTTATCATTAATAGCCATATCCCACATTTCCTTATACCAATCTGGTGGCTATCAGATCTCCAGTTCTTTGCTTTTTAAAAAAAGTTTGGATAATGCTTTTCATTATTATTATATGTTTAATTGTTTTAACTGTGTAAATTATAGTGATTTTAGTTTGACTCGTTTTAATCTCTGCTAGCCACCTTCTGAGCCAAGAAAAAAGTAGCATAGAAATTAAACAAAAAATAAACAAACACATACTCCATCAACTTTGTCACATGCCTTCTTTGCAATCAATGAAAATCACAGGCCAAAATAAAGGGGAGGGGGGAACCTCCAGATCTCCAGAGAGTTTAGGAGTTCTCCCAGAACTATGGGAGTTGTAGTCCCAAAACCTGGTACAGAACTATGGGAGTTGTAGTCCCAAAACCTGGAGGGCCAAAGATGTCATATTCCTGCTTTAAACATCACAGTGGAGGAAAAACCATGCTTTTGTTCCTGTGGTGGGGTTTATGAACTGTAGTTAGGCCCCTATACAGCTTTGCTTTGCCTCACCTTGCCTAGCACAAGATACCACCCTCTTATGAAATAAAGCCGCATTCATAGATCTGTGTGGAACCAGACCTTGGAAGAGTTCCTTTTTAAAGCTACAATTCTCAGAGCGCCCTTAGCCAGCACAGCCGGCAGGGGCAAAGCACTGCCAGAGTTGTAGTAAAATTTCCAAGCTCTCGTGCTGGAGCTGCCTTCAGTGAAAAGGCATTGTCTTAAACCGCAGAAGCCAGTGAGCGAAGTCACCCCCGTGGAAGGGAGCGAGCACTTCACTTTGTGTGTGAGGCACAAAAGGCTTCGAGCAGCAAGTCGACAAACAGCACGCAGTGTGCCCTGATGTGCGCGCGCGCACACCCTCACGAGACACATATTCAGACCCAAGAAGAAGAGGAAGAGCAGCAGCTCGGAAGAAGATCGGATTCGTAAGGGAAAAAGCAGAGTCCCTGACACCCCGCCGCGACCTTGGAGGCTCCTCCAGCCCTGGAAGGCAAACCAACAAGGCGCCTCCTCCCCACCTGCACCCTCGAAACGTTGCACGGAGCTCTGAAATCCCACTTTCGCCCCAATTACCACCGACGGGCACGTTTTGCAACGACCAGCAAAAACGCAGCCTAAGCCTCCGGAGGAACTCGGGAAAGCAACATGAAAGCCTCGCTTTGAGTTCTGCGGTTTTCGTCTTAAATGTAAGGGGGGCCAAACTGCTGCCCCGGCTTCTGGACCCGCCCCCCGACGGGCACTTCTAAAACCATCAAGTCATGCCCTCTTTTGCCTCCAAGATGCTGAAACATACGGGGCTTAATTTATCTCTTATTTCGTCTACCGTCGTTTCTCTCCCCTCCTGACGTTCACCTTCGTGCAGAAACGTTTTTGTTAATTCGCGTTGCTCCCCTCCGCTCCCCTCCCCTTTTCAACGCCGTTCCTCGGTTCCCTTTTATACCTCTCTGCACGCGGGCGTGTGTGTGTGCGCGCAGAGCTCTTTTAATGTTGCCCCATAGGCAGGCGCGCGCACGAACACGTTCATACAACCTGAAGCCCAACCGCATAACCCGCTAGTTCGGGGCTTTCGCTAATTCGCTTACATGTTAATATAAAACGAAAAAGGGCAATGTCAACAAAGACCGGCGGCGGCGGGGGGAGGGAACCACCCGCTCGGGAAGGCAGCGGCGGCGGCGGCGGCGGCGGGAGCCGTCGCGGACTTGCGAACAAAGGAGCCGAGCGGTCTCGGCGGCCGGAGCGCAGCGTTACCCAATCATCCCTTGGAGTCGCCACATGCCCCGCCCCTCCGCCGCCTTCTTCCCTCTCCAGCGCGTCTTTCCTTGCCGGGACGGACAGCCGACGAGACCCAATGGCAAGAAAGAAGGCCCTTTTGGCGCCTGGCCACACGTCGCCCTTCCTCCAATAAGGAGCGGTAGAGGCGGAAGAACGCCCCGGGTAGAAGGCCGCGCTGGCCAATGGCAGCAGTGTTATTGCAGAGAAGTAGTATTATGCTAATCGATGTTTTGCTCGAACTCACTTGGTGAGAGCTTTAAAAAGCGAAGCAGCCCCAGGCAGGCTGTTAGAAGCGGAGCGAGGCTCGGAGGGAGGGAAGGAAGGCGAGCGAGTAGAAATTGGGGGGTGCAAGCAGGTTGTTTTGCACGAAAGCCCTCGGCCCTTCTCTCCGCCTCTGAGGCTGGGATTTTTACGAAAGCCACCTGGACCACCTCCTTCTCCTCGCCTCCCCGGGCGAAGGAACCTGCCCGCTTCCCTTCTAGCGAGCCGCCCGTCTTCCACCACTATGTCCAACGTGCACCTCACGAACGCTTCGGCTCTGGAGTGCCTCGCGGCTCGCCGGACTTTCCCCTTGCACGCTCGTACCGGGGTGTGTCGGAACCTTTTCGGTCCCGTGGATCATGAGGAGCTCAGCCGGGAGCTGAAGAGTAAATTGCGGGAGATCTGCGAGGACAGCCAGAGGCGCTGGGACTACAACTTCCAAACCGAGACGCCGTTGGCTGGCTCAAGCAGGCTGCAGTGGGAAGAAGTGGAGGGCGGCGAGGTGCCCGCTTTCTATCGGGAAACTCTGCAGGTGGGGAGGTGCCGCTTCCCGGTGCTGGTGATCCGGTCGAAGTCCTCGCCGGGAAGCCCCGAGGCGGCGCCTCCCGAGACGGACCCCTGTGACTCCCCACCGGAGACCGGCGCTGCTTTGAACCCGTCCCCGCTCAGCCCTCAAGGCAAGAGGGCCACCTTTGAAAGCACTATGCCGACGGGCGAGGAGCGCCTCAACCAGGAGAACCGGGCCGATCAGCTCAACAGCAGCTACTCAGGGATTATAATCAAACCTGTCCCGTGTGCCGCGGCGGCGGCGGCTCTGAAAAGGGCATCGTCGGCTGGTGTAACTCACATTACAGGTAAGAACGGGCGCCATCGGCTGGTGCGGGTCTTGCACTTATGCCTGTGGGGAGGAGAGCGGGAACTCCTCCGACCCCTTCCTCCCACTGGAGGATTTTAAAAGGCTCTCTCTCCCC